TATGAAAATTACAGTTATATTCATTCTAAAGCTGTCAGTGGCGTTCTGCTTCTTCTTCAGGTTCAGTTTGTCGGGTACCAGGAACCTCTGATAGATAGTAATTTGAGACAAACGCACCAAAACCAGTATTTCCTAGCGCCAGTGATCCTAACAGTGATCAGGTGAATAAATCTTTAGTATTGAGAATACCTAAAGTAGTCAAACGAGTGAGGACAAGGGCATTCACACCCATATATAATATGGCCTGCTGTTTCCTCCTTCTTACAACATTTCCTGCATATAGGGTCTTGTTGAAAAAGTCCCATAGTACGAAGGTGTTTTCTGAAATAGTAGTGCCCCGTGATGTATTGCTGAAATAGAAGTACCCACAATTATTTGTATCTTCAGTCCTAAGAATTTCAGGTCAGTGGAACACGATGAATTTTTTTCTCATTTTGAAACTCGGGATATCATGTAAACCTAACTTATTGCTGCATATTTGTGCAACGCTATATTATTATGAATTACCCTAACTAAATAGCCCGTTCTAAGTAAACTGTTAACAAGTTGGGCTTTCTTATGTTAAACATCTTCCCTGGGGGTCGACGTAGAGACCTCTGCGAAGCTACTGGCTAGGATCTGTACCTAAGCAGTCTCGGCCACTGGTTATACAAATTATGAACCTAATAGTTCTGCAGGCTTCGGAAAGGTCACTTATTGGTCTGGCATGTCCTAGTGTAAATGGCTCTAGTAACCCTATGTAGCACCTGGGACGCTAGGTAATGTGCTTCTGCGAAGGGCAGCCCGAGCGACTGGCAGGTAGCAAATCATAGTCAACGATCGGTATCGCAAAAGCGATGCGTCCTTCTCTCCAAAGTGCAAAGGCTTAGGTTGAACCTCTATGCCTGGCTCTAAAAAGCGAAGGGACTCATAGTGCCATTAAGTCTCGCAGAGTGAGAAATGCCCATTTATCTAGTAATGTCAAACACCAAGTACCAGAGATCTGCTATTGTAAATTTGTTCGTAATAATTTTAGGACTTCAATACTTCAGGAATTAAATGCAAATCAGCTTCTCTCTAGACTCTGTACTCACAGATTATTACGAATATGTGTTAATAAGCTATATAAAAAGCTTTTTTAAAATTCATTGTAACTTATACATTTTTTCTTTTAATTAAAGTAGAAATACATTATTCCTTTACAATTTATTTCTGATAAAGATTTGATGGCCGTATTTAATATCACAATTTGGCGGCATATTGTCATGCTTTGAATTCCGATAATTCCAGGAACGCATTTTAATTAAATTAAGAAATATGAATATATCATTACTACTATGAAGAATATTATTTTTTGTCAGTTCTCATGAAGAAAATTATTTTTAAAATTTGCATTTTTTTTACACGTACCATTTTGAGACTGTATAACAGAACAACGGAAAAAAATGATTTCAGAAGATAATTGAAGATAGTAATCTTAGAGTGGAATCACTTCCTTAAACACACTTTAGTTTTGTTGAGGTTGGTTACAGTTTAGTGTTAAATGATGGCAGCAATGATTCAGAAGCATAAACGCAGTAAACAAATATTTAGATAAACAAGCGTAAAGTTCTACAGTCATCTTAATAAAATATACCTGAGTAAATTATTCATTTACTCCAGCTATGCTAGCACTCTGATAATACTGTGTCAAAGCCATACAAATGTGAAATGGTTGATCTGTAAATCTTCAGCTACTTATGTAGAATTATAAATTTATGTCTGTCTTATATCACATGTTTGTGATCCTTTCAAAGATTAGAGGTTATTTTGGGTCTTTTGAGAAAGCTAGTCTACTAACTACTAGAGATTCAAGCGACTTAATTATTGTATACAGTGGCAGATGTTATTAGAAGGTTCTTGTATTTGTTTGTGGACGTCCACTAAGGGGCATAACTATTTTCTAATGATTGTACATTAACGTCATAAATGTTTACGATTACAATAAGTGCGATTTTTCAGGCTTTATAACAATATATATAATGCATCGTTAACATAATTCTTTAAATTTTATGTTCAAGGAAGTCAGATTTGCTGCTCTAACTCGATGATTATACTAATCATTCACGTACCTGTTACATAAAGACACGACAAATTGCAGTTAACTTAATGCATTCATTTTCAAAATTTATTGCATATATTTGTAACCATAAACACGAAGAGTCACCGCAAAGTAAGTCTGCTGGTAACTGAATTTAAAACAATGATTCTGTAAAATAGGAAGACTGGTTGAGTATCAATATTTAGTTTTACTGTATTGCAGAAGTAAATTAACTAATTTGATTTAGAAAGTGTAAATTAATTTAGAAACACCGATAATTAATTTACAGCCTCCTTTCCATTCATTTGATTACGATAAATGGGATACCTTAACTTCATACCCTTAATTAAAATTACATCATTACCCTTACTTTAGAAGAGAAATTAAGTTACCTAATTACTGTTTCAAATAACCACTTCTTGCAGAGACTTAAAATTTGCGATTATTAATTTTATAACGAAATTTATTAGGTACACAAGTAACTAATAAAATAGTTAACGTTACAATCAGTTGTTTTACATATTGGTCTTATTAGAATACTGGAGCATTGGGAAACGTGTGCATTCTGTTTTTTTTTTTTTTTTTTTTTCGGGCGGGGGGACTTTTTAATTACTTATCCATATTTGTTTTAAACCTTGCCATTTAATACTTACCAATATTTTACCTGTGATATATTGTATTTTTCAATAAAACTTTGAAATTAAATGTGTTGTGGTACAAAAAATAACATGACAGTTTGTGGTGCTTATGCCCCATGTTTGGGTGGGTCCTATGGAAGACTTATGAAGGCATAAAAGACCCTTAATTAAATTACAAGATAAATATTTAAATGATACATAGTATATTTTCGTTTTCTTAAGATTATGCTACGGAAAACAATATTAAAATAATTTTATTTTTTAAGATATTGGTGTGTTAACTAATGATAATAAAGTTAACATTATTTTAGTAATATGCTGACACAGAAGAAGACAGATATAGCCATATTTATAGAGTATAGAAAAAGAAAATGCTTGATGGTTTCGTCCTATACCGAATGCTGTAAAATCTACACAACCAGTGTATGTGGCATCCTGGAGGAAGTTATACGTTTGCGAAAATGTTTGCCAAAATCACCCGTATCCAAACAAATTTTTGTAGGTTTTGCATGAAGGATTCCACCTTCGTCGCGTGATGTCCAGAAACTGATGAAAGAAACTGAATTAGGGAAGCTATTGCCGTGGTCCCAAAAGAAATGTCAGACACATAATGGCACGAAATGGAATTTATGGTGTGTGCATATTTCTCAAGTCACGTATATATCCCCAGCGTACGCAAGGTGATGTGATGGCAGAAAATGTTTTCTTTTTTTCGAATTCGCTATGCATTCACCTTGATACCTATGCCCCTCATTTTGTAATAGATTACCGTTAAATAATGTAATAACTATTTTATCGCATAATAAATTACATAAAAATTTATGATAAAATTTCCATTTATTCACAAACACAATATAGGCATTCACATGGGAAATTGCTAATCTTATGGCTTTTTTAATTAGAAAAAAAATTATGCTGACCAGTTTCCAGGCGCACAAAATCCTCTACGTATGTATTAGCTGCCTATATTAATTAGACATAATATTATGTGCATATATTTAAATTTAATTCCTTTTTTCTACTTCGCACGCGTATTTTTCAACAGATGTTTCAAGATTAATCTTTTGCAATTATCATGTGCTTCATGAAACATTTATCAAAAATAATTGCTTACCATTTTCGATAAGAAAATTTCATGTCATCCATATTTACATACTTCGCTTCTTCAGAAGAAGGATTCATATCTGATCATTTTTCTTGCCTGTGTAAGAAAATAGTTCAAGATTAATACAGCATTTTTTAACATACGATATTTTAAATCACATACTTTATATTAAAATATTTTCTACATTTATTTGACAAGGGTCTTGCTTTCAAATATTTACTTAACCAATGGAGTTAACCTCTAATTCAACAAACGCAAAAAAATAACAAAGATATAGTACTGCGAAGAAGTAAGTTATCAATAAAAAGATAAATAAATTGTAGAAAAAGGTGCTACGTGGAATAATTCTCCATTTCATTCTAAGTTTCTAATTTAAATTCAAAGGAACTATTTTTGTATTTTAACTACTTTTCGCCTTTCATTACATTGCTCTTGTAACTAAAACACCGTCTTTCGTAATAATTAAAATAATCTATCATTAAAACGCCTAAAAATTTCAAGATATGCTCATCCCTATTCAATGAAATGTTTTTTTTCTAAATCCATTTAATGTTATGACAGTGGAAAAGTAAAGTTTATAACGCAAATTGAAAAATAATATTTTTGTATGAGCGTTCTTTTCGTGCGTAAAGAATTAGTTACGGTTAGATAAATCATAATTTGTATTAAAAATTACTATTATCACTTCAGGTGACTGATGGCGACGGAGCGATATCAGCAGACTTGAAGATATCTGTCTCAAGCAGAGCTGACCCGATGACAATAGGTCTTCAGAAAAGCAGTATACATGCAGAAGAAATAAGTCCAGGAAACTGGTACATTTTAATAAAATAAATGAGGCACTAATATTTCGATACTTCATTAAAATCATAAACCAAACAAATACTCGAAGTCATAGATATACACAATATGAAAGGAAGCAATTATATGCTAAAAATTCAAAACAAAATTTTTTAAAACACGTTCTGCGCTATAACTACAGGATTAAAGTAAAGTTTTTGAGTGTTGTTTAAATAACAATTTCGTTTAAAGTGTACTTATTTTGCTCTTTATTTGTAATTGCTTTTGAATTTTGAATTTGCATAATACAGTTTTAGACCAATTTGCTTTTTTTAATAGTCAATTTGCATAATGTAAAGTTTTATGGGTTTTTTTAGCAGTCAGTTTCACTCATTTTATGTTTTATTCTTTTTTCCAGTGTTTCAAAAGGATGCAGCAAGGGAAAATCTGGTACATTTGAGATTCGATGTTTTGGTTTTATATGAATTTTTATATCTTAAATGAAAATTGAATTGAATCTTTTTTACGGTTTGTGATCTCAAATAAACCAGGAGAACGAAACATGTTTTCGAAACATATTAGTCGATTTTATGAAGCTTTAACTCATTTTCCCATTTTTCCCTGATGAGTTCTGAATTTAAGTTTCAGTAAAAGGAGATTAATTCTTATATTTTTATAATTTGTACATTTTCCCCTTCGCAATTTTGTTTTTGCATGCAATATGTCACTATCTAAGTGCTGTCTGGTCATTTTTACCAACATTAAAAAACCCTTATCAACTTTTTAGATGAGAATTCACCAGGTATTTCATGGTTCTTAGAAATATTTGATCTTTCCAAAGCTAATAAGTTTCCAGCTAACTTAGATAGAAATATCAAATATAAAGCAAAGCAGATGAAATGACTCACACCATTCACACTCGGTAAAGAAGTACCAGATGATGACGCTTTAAACCACCCAGGGGTCTCTCCCGTCAAGCAAGGCGTTAAGACAGGAGCGATAAACATTAAGCCGGGGCGCTATACCCTCTCCACTCATGCCCCCAAGCTTATCCGGGCATTCCAGAAGTTAGATGCGCTGAAGCAGGTTTAGGATGAGGCGCTGGCACACCCAGGAGACCTCCTCGGCAACTCCATGCTCAAGTGTGCATGCAAGTGAAACAGTGGGATATATTGATGGCTACTCAGGCGTAACTCATGACGTTTCGCACAATTTCGTTCAGCTACTCTTATTAATACTGTGTGGAATGCGTTGCAACGAAGAGGGAGTTTCGGAAAAGGATTTAAAAGGAGGTGGGGGAAACATTGGCAAAATTTATTTTAATCATTCTGATCAGATATGTTAAAAAAACTGAAGAGTAATTTCTGAGAATACTCATATGCACTTCACTTTTGAGTTACCAATGGATAAATATCTTCATTTTATTTAACTCGAAAAATTTCCTTCTTTTTACTATTTGGGATAATTTCAAAATGATTTACAACCTGCTTAAAAGTTACCTTTTTTTTTCCTTTATTACAGTTTCTAAAGAATTAATGGAAGCGGATATACACACCAAATTAATTTCTATTACTTAATTTAAAATGGCATCACAGTTAAAATATTTTTGTTCTAATTTCTAAAAAATGCTTATTACTTCTGAGCTTTTCCTGAGTAATAACGAATTCAAAATTTTGGTTGAGGTCAAAAAGTAATTGGCGAAGCTAATATATGCAGGGTGGTCATAAAAATACTTCCCCAGTATATGAAATCTCAGCGACCTTTCCGCTTAAACAAGCGAAATGAAATTTCAGATAATATGGTATATGTTCAAATGTTCAAAATTGTGATGATTTAAAACAATAGAGCTCTCAAAATTGCGGTTTAATAGAAAAATGTCGAAATTTTCGAAAGTTAACTCTCATTTTTTTTTCCTGTGTTAATTGATAAGCGCATTGAAATGCTATAAATGGTGTTGGAAGGATATATAAAAGATGAAAATTGCCTGCTTAAAACCTTCGGAAAAATTCGCATTGTAAAGGACCTATGATAATACGACAGAAGAAAAGGTAATTTCTTTATTATAATTACAAGTTTCAATGTGCCTACTCCCGCAGAACACATTGCATACGAGAAATTGTTGACAACAAATGCGAACGTAACATTGCAGAAGGAATCTGTATAATTTCATGTTTGTTCGCATCTTTCAATCTGGTGGATGTCATATACAAAATGTGATATGTATACCTTAGATTTCAGATAACACCTTAACTAGAAATCTATCGGAGTGAGGTATGGGAATAGTGGCAGCCATGAAACTGAAAAATTGCAGGAGATAGCTCTGTCCTGAAACCTTGTTCACGTTGAAAATGTAGTTAGGCCAGGTAGTTAGGAAAAGGAATCATAGCTGTGAAACAGCTTCAGATTGATAGTGTAACTTTTATTTATTTATTATATTTTCCAAAAAGCGGAAGCTTATAAAATGATTTAATTGCATTAAATCATCTTACAAGATGACAAAGGGGTCGGGTTTAACTATTCCACCAACTTTAAAGATTTCTCAGTTGTACAGATTCAAATATGTTTCAGTGGAAATTACTGAAGGGGAAAGTTATAATGAAATTTTGCCAGTAATTTATTGAATGCAATTGTCACTCACCAAGAACGACAGGAGAAAACTACATAAATTAGAAAAAGCGGAGCGGGACTTGTAGTTGAGAAAGCTAGAATTAAAGACCGAGCTGAAGCCAAATGCTGATTGTTGTAAAGCTATCGAAAATAACAAGTTTACTGATTTTCTAAAGCTGCTGTAGCGATATATGACGGAAATGGCGAAACCTGCACATATTTAAAGAATTAAAGGCAGATCAGTAGAATGGATATACTGAAAAAAGACTGGGTTGCACTCCTGTTAGAGCTTTTCTTTTAGACCTGTTAGGGCTTGTTGTGTATTTATTATGGAGTGAATCTGATCCGCTGGAACAGTTGCCACTTCATTCAAAAAATACTTTTTCAATTCTTTGAACTGAATCCAGAGGACTTTCAGTGCTGAATAATGGCACTTGTGCTGCTAAAATTTGTGACACTTTGACCCAACAGACTTAAACGATAGTCCGTTTTCTCGTACAGTCTATATGCCATCGTCACTGCGTTGCCGGTTTAATGAAATGTAAAACTGCACTAGGTTTTTCTGTTTATTTGGGTGTTTGTTAGATCATTCTGCAATTGATGTGTGGGTGTAATAAACTTCCGGTTCGCAAGAGGCACCAGTTATGCAATACAGCATAAAACACAGCGACATCTGGCGGGGCCTTTTCGGGGTTCTATGAAGAATAGGTATCTGAATAATTAGTGGAGGCTGGACAATACCCACTTTGCCTATAGTTAAACAATAGGTGTTCACCCCACTTCAATATAACCATATCCACTGGTGTCAGGCTTTATAAATTCTTTTGATTAAATCATGCCAACTAGCTTTTTTTAGCTGCTTTAAGTTACGAAAGATTTAACAGGAAAGTTATACTTTATAAAGCGGAAGAACCTGTATATGAAATATGACCCTTTCTACTAATGTGGACAGAGATTCATTTAGAAGTTACAAACCCTCATTCATTTGAAATACAATTCGATGGTCATTTATCTATTTACATTTGTCATTACTATGAAGTGGCTAAATAAAATGCAAAATTTGGATATATGTAATGCATTTATTTCTTTAAATTTCACTAAGATGCTTAGATATGAACACTGACATTCTGTCAGATACCCTACCCTTATAAATTAAGGAAAAATTGTTTCGTCACTTTCGTTCCATTGCCTTAACCATTTTCAAAATTATTTCAATTAATTTTAAAATTCTTAACTTTAGACATTCCGTCAATTTTTGGACACCTGTTTATTTGCCTCTGCTATTGCGTTTTTCTCACGAAATATCCTCATAAGTAAAAACATTGCTTGTTTCATAAGCAAAGTTATCACTTAATATGCTAACATTCGTTTGGTTTATATGACTAAGGCAAAGCCTCGAGGGATATCTACGTAAGAGTAAGGATGCCTTCGTGGAAGACTTTTTAAGAAAAACTGGCTCGTATAAATGTTACACATAGGGAAACCCATTAAAATGCCCACGCAGCCAGCCCGTTCGCGTGATTCAAACCTCAGACCGAACTACCAGTATTCTGGGACGTTACCGCTTGGATACTGGTGGGATTCCAACATTGTGAAATATTATGACTTATAACAGTTTCGTGTTATATTACGTGGATCTAAAAGATTCTCTCAGATGCACCGATGTGCTGCGAACTGTTCGGTTTCTGAAAAAATCAAATAGCCTTGTTCCTTTCTTAGCTGTTGATTTTTATCCTTATATATTGTATGTTTCCTTGGATGGGGGGGGGAGTATTTTCATAAAGTCTTGCTTAAAACAAAATTAAAATATTGAATTTAATATACATTCCCAGTTCTTGAATAAATCATATCATGTCAGGTATGAAAAATTAAAGTCTTCAAGTATCGTATTTCATATTTATTTTAGTATTTCAGATAGAATATTTCGTATCAATAATTGCAAATACAAATACGTATTAAAATATTGGCTAAAAATGTTTATCTGTACTCCTGTATCTGTAATGTATTCCTTACTTGTTGATGTGGTGAATTTGCAATCTTTTTTTCTTGGTTTCTCCAAATTGTACTGGTATCCGATATAAAAGTATACCCATAACAGAAGAAATAATGGTAAAAAAATAAGAACTAAGTTAAAATAAAGAATAGGCTGGAAATCACTAAAAAAATATTCATCAAACAACAGTGACGATTCATCAAAGAGAAAGTAAATTTGAAATACTTAAGTTCTGGCCTTAAAGGAAGACGGGGACTGACTGAAAAGCACGCACATGGTAAGCCAGTGAGAAGTCTTTCTTTAAATCTCTCTTTTGGCTAAAAGCCATATTTTAAATACGTAACAGTTTGCAAGCACATTTGCAAGTACAAAACTAACCGCGCTTGTTCTGGCCAGAAATGAAAAATAAGAGAGGATAGCAAAGTTTTAAAATAAAATAAACGTTAGTAAAACTGAAAATTCTTACAAAAGTACAAAGAAACTAAAAATGTTTGAAATATGACTTTAATAATATATTTAATGTTTGGCAATGTTATTTTTATTTCCTATTTTGTAAAAGTTGCAAGATTTTTATTAACTCTGCGATATGAAAGCGAGTAGTGGCAACACTTTTCGAAATATAACAGATTTTTATCTCCAGCGCGTGAGACTGTGGCCACTCGGAAAAATTAGTGCGAAAATCAGCGTTTTTATAGTTTTTAATTAATATCTTGGCTGATTAAAGTCGGACGAAGATGAGAATGGTCGAAATGGATCCCCACGAATTTTCGGAATCCTCGGTGTACCACTATTGAAACTCAACTTCCCGTCGCTCCGGAGGAGAGAATGCCGCAAACAAATAAACAGACGTGCCCAGATTTTTATAGTATAGGTAGCTCATTCATATCTTATTTTTGATTATTACACACACTATAAAGCTACGATTACATTTAGAAAGTTTAGCTAAGTAGCATTCCCAAAAGATTTAAAATGGCAAGGGAA